ACATTTTCCACCAGACGCAGTGCCGGAAAGGCTGCTCTGCGTGGCTCGTGACGAGGTATGAACGCTTAAATTGCTAGGCGTTCTGTGGTGCCTCGACCCTGGGAGAATGTCATTTTTACATTCGCGCACGCCTCTGAGCACGACGTGAAACCAGAAGGAAGGCAGCAGTGCACGGAGCAGACGTCTTGCTCACCTGGCCGTTTCACAACCAAACGTGTCAGTGACATGGCATGTGTACAGTATGTCTGGCTTACCAAGTTGTCAATTGCAGGGTTGATCCCTTGGACTCTGTAATTTGATGAAAGCACTTGTAGTCACAACAATAAGCCAAAACAAGGCTGCAACTGGGCATGCAACCATCCGAATGTTGGGGTGGATTATTGTGTGCAGCTCAGGTGGATGGGATCAACCTTGTCAGTGGTCTGGGATTGCATGAAGGTTGAGGGTGCAGCAGGCCGGTAGGTAAGTAGGGTCTGTGGCTGAGATTGTGTGGCGCAATTTTGAGACCATGGTGTCTGTGCTCTGCATCAAGGCAGATGCCTATCGAGTTGGTCGTTCTTCAAATTTGGGGTCCCATGCCCTGTGTGGAAACTGAGCCAAAAGAGAGCATACATGAGGGGCCCCTAATTTTAAAAGGTTGCCAGCTGAATTCCTGGAGGCAGCCCTGTTAGACAATCCGCAAGTCTATACTCCTGCCTCAGGCAACTAGCTGCTGCGAGCCGGAATAAGTAAAGCTTCAACTCATGGATAGCCGGCGGCATTTCGCAGAAGCTAAGGCCAACAGGGAGAGCTTTCGACACCCAACCCTTCCAGACAGGGCAGGTAAAGAGGTCTTGACCACCGAGCATGGATTCTCTCCAAGTGCGATTGCAGTTACATGTTCAGCATGTTGACCCCACCTTCTAAAATAGAATTTCCCGTTGGGAGTCTCTGCTACTGCTAGCTTTGGCAGACTGCCTTGACGACAGGCTCATTGAGGTTCGGTATGTGATCTCGATGTTGTCACTTCACAGCTATAGGCAGGGACGCAGCCAAGGTCATGTGTCGGTTGCACTCAACATTGGGGATCGACTCAGATTAAGTAAGCTTCAGTGGAGATCGGTGTCGATTCTCGACTGCATGTCAAGCTGATGAAGGCCAGCGCTGCCAATTTTCGAAAAGTTGTTGGGCAATTTGGGTTCGGAGCGACCAGCTTGCTGTTGGAACAGAGATGTGAATAAGTGAGCGTCCTTTAAGCTTTAGAGAAGCTCCCCGCAGCTTGGTTTGATGATAATCTTTGGGCAAACTTTCTTTTGTTGGAGACTTTCAGAATTACCTTTCCCAGTTGCGAGTCTCGCATATCTTACCACTTCCGAGTATCGGTGCAGAGGGGTTTGGCATCTCGTCCTGAAGCTGGGTCTTCGGTGCTTATTGACTTCCATTCGTTGCGGTAATGTTCTGGTTTCAGATGCTTCAACTCCTAGAGGATATCAATCGTGCAAAGGGAAACTTCCTTCTGTAGGAAGCCTTCCATGCCGGAAGACAGAGAGAGATAGGAATCAAGAAAAAACAGTGGATCACATTGGAGGGAGAAGCGCGTCAACAACTCATCACGACAATCCAGATGCTCCTTCCCCACAAGTTCAATGCTGAACCAAGCCTTCTCCTGCTAGCAGCGGTCAGGGACGAACCAAACCTGATGGAGAAATAGGATACCAAGTGCACGGAAGCATCCGTGGCCAGTCCAGCCCAAGGACCAGAACCAGTCTCAGTGTAGGAACTACGACCACTTCTTTGGCGCTGGTGGCAGAACCGGCAGCCCAACAGCCGGAAGCCACGCAAACGATCCTGTCACTACCCAGAGGTCGCCCTCTCATCACCAAAGAGACAACAGAGCTATGGAAAGTGGCAGAAATGCCACCGGCGTGAATCATGGGAATCGCAACATCAACTAACACGTTGACTGCTAGGTTCTAGGAGTTCGACAGATGCGGAGAACCGCAAGGAATGGTCGAAAAGGGGACTGATCTGATTGATTCTGGCGACTGTATGCGACCATGATGCGGCCAGCGTGGAGAACACAGACGACGGTTCCTCGGCGACAGCAGCAACAGCAGCCGTGGAACCAAACCATGAGAGGCCCATGTGAGATCCTCGTCTTCACAGCAGGTTCAAACAAGCGGAACAAGAAAAACGACGAAGCAGATACCATGGGACCTGAAACCGCTAGGGGCAGTCCCGGCATCGACTGCGACCAGCCAGGGGACGCTCACTCTTCCTGCAGAAGTGGAAGATTCGCACGATTCGCCTTGGATGGTCTCGGAGACAATTGACGTACAGTACGAGGAGACCACAACGTCAATGGTTGGATGCTGGGTGTTGGCGGGCGGCGACTTTGTCTCCACATGCTCCGGCCCACCCTCCCCGTCTCCACAACCTGCAGAAGTCGAGTCGAAGGAGAGTGAGGTGGCAGAAGATGTGGCCGCCGTGGATACAGATGGACCACCCCAGCTCACCGGAACCAACGAGCGAACAAGAAATGGCTATGGGCGCAACGCACGCCGATCCTCTGGGAACCTGAGAAGAGGGCATCAGACGCTGAACCAATGGCACAGCCATGACCTCTCCACACCGACGGATGGAAGAAATGTCAGAGCCGCTTGCGGGAACAGGAAGCCGTAGACGCGAAGCACTGCCGCGCTCCCCGGCAACCTGGTGAGCAGTATCCGATACGCGAAATGCCCGCAACAGAGATAGACTCCAGCCAGGATACAGGAATCCAATCAACCCAGAACACCTGGCCAGACCAGCTGTGCAGAAGCACGGAACCTCAAAAGCGAAACGGAAATGGATACGTGCATGATGAATAGTGATGGCTGCCTCACGACTTCTGATAACATTCGACAAGAGGTATTGAGTGTTGGGTTTTCTATTTGTTTGAAGCAAGATGCCGGAATGGCTTGTGAAGCCGTCCTATGCATCAACATGTTGCACTGGACAGCAAGCCTCCATGGGAACCTCTTATGTCGATTGGGATGTTGAAGCAATTTGAAGCATGCTGGAACTCTATCAACTTTTTGTTCCCGAAATGATGTGACATGACCGTTATAAGGTCGAATGTGAATCAGCACCTGCTGAAGAACATGGTGCAGAAGTTTGCCAGTGCTACCTTTCACACAGCAGGCACTCATGTTCCGGAACCCCATTGGCCATGAATCGCCCTGTCCCTTGACATAGCATCCCCTCATTCTTGTTGCGTTTTTCCGCTTTTTTACAGCAATGCAGATTGCAGAGTTTTGGGAAAGTGGGACGCCAAACTGTACTACTGCCAGCTGTTGATTCAACATTGCTACTGTCTGTTTTGCTGCCTGACTCTTCTGTAGCATGGGGTTTAGCAAACGAATCGAGGATCCACCCAAATCTATCGCACCGTGCTTGGTCCTGCTATGATGTCACGAACCAAACTCGGGGAGGGGCCTTCAGGCCTGGCCCTTGGCCCGCATTTTTTCTGTAAAGAATCAGGTTGGATATGACCACTTGCGCTTTGACTGCGTTGGTACGCCGGGCCTCACAAGCACTCAGCCGTGCAATGGACAAGGCCAAAAAAGTACCCCCTACGGGCCCTGCAAGTCCTCAACGCGACCTTCTCAAGCTGGGGATAAAGGCATAACCTCCAACAAGCACGTACAGTTCCCCGAGGTTCAGGGAAAGTGCCCCAACAAAGAACTTATGCGTTCAGGGGACCTGGGTTTGTCTTCAATTGGTTGTGTTGCTTCCATTGGGACGAGGCTCAACCGAGGCATGGGGGAAATCCCAAGGGCTGCCGAAGACAGAGAGAGGAGAGAGGGAGAGAAAGAATCCAAAATTCATGCGCTGTGCTCGTGCCGCTCTCTGCATCACGGCTGGGGTTGCAATGTAGATGCTTATTTCGCAGCTCTGATGGGTGGCGTCCTCAGCTCTTGCCTGATCAGGGCTTCAGTAGTCTTTTAGGAGCAAAGTCCGGCTGAATGTGGACAACTGTGTTTTAACACAACTTCTTAATTTCAGCTGCAGGCGCGATCCTTTACTAGCACGGCAGTCCACGAAACGCTCTTGGAGCGGCTGCAGCCTTGGCAGGGGGACTTGACGCAGCCGCAAAGGTTGTGCTGTTGGTTCTTCCCTTGGTGTTTTTAATGCCTGAGTCGTTCGGCCCTTGCTTCGTTTCATCCTCTACGTTCATTCTGATACCATGTTTTGCATTCCTTTCTGGCGGCGCTGCCTTCTCAATTCACTGCTTCTCCTTTGCTCTTCGCGGATGGCTGAATCAATGCAGGTGCAGCCATGAGAAAAAGTGTTATCATGCAACAGCCGAAGCACAGGAGTCTGAGGTGTGACTAGGAACCTGGACAGGGAGCACACACACAAGTTGATGAAGTATGGCTGAACTCGCCAAGTGAAGCCGTACATTGGCAGTCCCACTCGCTTTTAGTAGATCGCCACTGAACCTGACATCGCTTCAGCACTCTAAACGCACCAAACCACGCATCCCGAACCAGAAGCACAGAAACCAAGCTGGTTGTGAGGTCCTTTGAAGCATGCTGCGCCGCAGGCTCAGTAGGTGAGTTCCTTCAATTACTTGCAATTCAATTGCAGGGAAGATGGGATGCAAGGGTCTCAGCGTGACTCCTGTTTTCAGGTGAACTCAGTTGCGGAGAAAGGGTGTTTCTTTGTCATGTTTGGAAACAGAATTCTCTGATTGCGTCGACCAATTTTTTTGGGAAGCCAGAGCTTCAGGACAGGCACCCTCGCTTTTCTTTGGGATTGATTGAGCGAGGAATGTTGCCGGCCGAGGCTGCATATAGAGCTCAAACCTATGTTCGTGACAGGGACGGTGGAGAAATAGCTGCAAGCAATGTCTTCTAAACATGGGTGAACAATTCACAGAGTCGCTACAGGCCCGGCTTGTCACCATCTACACTTGTATATCTGTGTAGGGGTAGTTTTGCTTCTTCTGGGAGCCATTGACCTAGCTCCCAGCAGCTATGAACCTGGGCAGCATTCAGATTTTCGGGTCCTTGAGAGAAATCGCTCCTGTTTTCAGAAGGCAAAGGTTGCAGGGTATCAAGATTGACTAAGGATCCAGGGCCCTCCCAATGAGACGCTTTTCGTGACCGGCCTGCCCACGGACTGTAGCAGCGACTTCTGCAAGTCAATCTTCGGACAGTTCTTTGACCTCCCAATTTTCAGTGACATTTGTCGGGATTTCTTTTCTTGGATGTGATTTGTGCTTTGGAGTGCCGGTGGTTTGAGAAGTATGTAGCAGAGTTACGGTCCAGGTATGGCATCGTCAAGAGCGCAAAGGTGCTCCCAGTCGCCCAGGGCAAAGCGACTGCTGCTGCCTTTGTGGAGATGACTACGACAGACGATGCAAAGTGGATTGTGGACCATGTGAGTGGAAATGTTCCGCAGAGCCTCACAACCCCAGTGACCATAGTGTTTGCAACGCCAAGGGAACACAGAAAGGGTTCCATGAAAGGCTTCGGGAAGGGCAAGGACATGATGGATGGCGGCATGGGAATGGGAGGAGGTATCGATCCAGGCAAAGGGGCAGCCATCAAAGGCTTGATTGGGTTGATCCAAGTGGTGGCAGCAGCAGCTGGGGGCGGAGGTGGTGGCATGGGTGGGGGAGACCCTGGCAAGGGTGGCTACGGATATGGCGGTGGCAAAGGCGGGTATGGCAAGAATCAGTGGTGGTAGACCACCCCTGGCTGTACGTGCAGTGCCTTCAAAAACGAGGGAATGCGTCCTCTGCCGGCTATGCCTGCACTGTCGCTCACAGCCAGTGGGAACTCCGGCCAGGAGTGGACAAGTGGAGGTGCGATATGAAGATCCGGACCGGCTTGAAAAGGGATAAAAAGTAATGCCTGAATAGCGGAAGTCACATGGCAGCTCTCAACGGGCTGACTAAGGTCACTAGCATAGTCCATCGCCACCCCTATCAAATAGGTCATTCTTTCCAGATGCAATGCGCAGTCTGTTAAGTTAGACTTCATTTGAATCCGGTAGTGATAGAATCGGCTAGGTCTTGTGCGCTGCGAAGCATGAAAGACGCCGCCAAAGGCTTCTCTTACGATCTTGCTAGGCCGTGCTTCGAGAGGTCCTCCAACCAATGTGGAGCTTCCTTAATATTCCCCTTCTCTGCATTTGTCAGGATCAACAATGTGGACCCGTCTAAGCCTCACAGTAAGCCTGCTCTTCCTCAGAGGAGCACGAAGTTCCAGTACATGTCCTGTTGGCAGCGCAGCGCTTGTTGAAACGGATATCAGTCTCATGGGGAAGCAGACGTGAATTGACGTAAATGACTGGCTGCTGGTCCAAACCCGAAGGCTCCAACCCTTTGACTGACTTTCTCCCTGCCAAAGGGTGGTTTGGCTGAAGCAGGTATGCAGGACCAATACCATCACACCCCCCGGTGCGCTGTGCAATTTTCTGGTGCTGCCGCGAGATGCCCAGGCCTTCTTCTGGCACTGCAGCTGCTGCGCCTTTGGGCAGCACCACAGGCAGGTCGGAGGCTCTAGGAAGCTATGAGCGGTGCAAGATGCAAGGTGTGCCTATATTCGGTGGCTTTTCTCATTGCGGGCCACCTGCCTCTTATCACCAACGTACCAGTCTCCTAATCTACCTTTCTACCAACAAGGCAGCTCTCTTGAGGCAGACTTTGCTGGCATCGACTTCGACGATGATCTTGACTTCTCCTCCGGCACATTGCTTGGCCTACAGAGAGGGTGCCCTGCAAGTGGACATGTACGGGCGACAGGGCTACCAGGTATGGGTCTTTGAGTTGCGATGGGACATGCAACACAGGATTGGCTGTTGTTAAGGTATGCAGGCGTATTCAATTGCCTCTCAAGCAAAACTGACAGGATGACCGAGCAAGATAACATGTTGACTGTGCAGACATGGCAGGTTCGAGCTACACAGGAAAGAGCCAAAGGCTGCCTTGCAGGAGCTGTTGCGATGACCTCAGGCCTCAGGACTTGCTCTTTGGGCCTGTGACTCTTTGACTAAGAAGTAGAGGTGTTTTCAGCAGTGCGCCTTTCAAAAGGTCTTGTTGGTATTTTGTTTCGCTTGAATCTGGAAGTAGGAGGAGGCTTTTCCCGGCCCTGCATCGTTTGCAGTAGGCATGCAAGGTCTGCTCCGCAACCAGATTTGCCGCCGCCCACAGCCAGAGCCTTGGTGCTAGCATCCATGCTTGTTTGGCTGATCCTTGGAAGCGTGATGCATGTGCAAGAACATAGCATCGACCCTACAGACTCCCTGCTCAGAAGTATATTGGTAATGCACTGTGACCACGGGGCAGGATGCGAAAACATTCTTAGATGGCCAGTGATGTGGAACCATGTAGACCGACCGGGTGGAGCGGCCTCGATAGGGAGAGCTTGACTCCTTCTACCTGAGCTGGGACTCTGGGACTGTAGGACTGGGTTCTAGGCATGCTGAAAACGAGGGCAATCAGCAAATGATTGCTTCGGAATTTGAAGTCAGCCCCTTGCTGGAGGTCCACACCGATGATGAGGTCCATCCTTGCTGGGCCAAGACAAGAATGCCTTTCAGAAGACTCGCAATTTCTCTTAATTGACTGATGGGTGCTAGGCGGCTTCACTCGACTCCAATGACAAGAAACGCCTGGGCCCAAGGAGAGCTCAAGGACAATGAGTTTGGGTCTTGTTCTCAGAGAGTTGCAGTAAAGGCTTCAGTAGCTGAGGGGCTTGAGGAACAGCAATGGGGTACATGAGTGGTTGATAGAAATTTGTTTTAGGTCTCGGGCTCAGGTACAGGTGGCCACTCGCTTCGCGTCATACATCTAAATTTCATCATGTGAGCATGTCGTGTCATGAGACCTGATCCACTAGATTAGAAGACTGAAGCGCAGTAGTGCAGAGGCTCGATAGAAGGCAGACGGTGTCTCGAAGTCCCCTGGGTTTAGTTTGGTTTTTGCCTCTGCATGCGTCTGCAGCCTATGGAAGCCATTTTCTGTGTCATACGGCATGCGCACCAAGAATTATACATCTACAGTTTTTGGCCTACTGAGCCAGTGCCGCCCAGGAGGCAGCATTGTTCGGTCTGAGCCCGGCTAGGCAGCGCGAAAGGCAGCTTCAAACTCGGTTGTTGCTTTAACCCATGCACCTACAGGGCCCTTGCGCCAAGATCCAAATCCCTGCCAGCTGTGAAAGCAGTTGTGACATGTTGTGACTGGATTCCGGGCATTTCAGAAGAGAGCTTGAAGCTGTCTCTGCACGCATGCAATTGGTATGGACGAAGTGTCGGCTGTGCAAAAGATGAAGTGCTTCTACAGGCAAGGCAACTGTCGCAAGAAACCTCAATCTAGCGTTGAAAAGTGGATCTGCAGCCTTTTTTTTGCGGGATGGTAGTGATGGGGAGGACAGGATTCGTTACCACGAGGGACAAAGGCTGACAAGTTTGCATCATCACCCTGGGTCGAGGTCGTAGCAGGTGTCCAGAATGAGGCCTCACCAAGTAGCGATTGACTGGGACCCTGGCATGTGTGACATACTTGACACTCGAACTCAAGCGAACAAGCAACAATCACCAATGCTGTGCATTTGCACAAGTGGGCAGACTCAGATGCCACACCTAAGAGTTCCTTGATGTTTGCTGTTTGTGATGATTGCGTGCGCTGCTTGTCGGATTCAGTAGAAGCATAGCCAGTACTACCATGCCGTAACGTAGTACCTTCGGCACAGCACTTTGAGGTAGTGCCTTCATGACGAGATGGATCCATGTTCATGCAAAGGTTTTAAAAAGCCATCCTGGCAAGAGAACTTCTAGGCCCTCGTGCATGAATAACGCAAACACGCATTCGGGAATCCGTGTTCATCTGACAGCTGCTTCCATTCCGCGTTCGCTGCGCGACCCTTAGCTTGGGATTCTCCATCCACGTAGAAAGTCTGGGGCTGCAGCGCAACCCTTGTGATGATTAAATCTCGAAAAGCAATGTTCACAACTTGGGGTTATGCTGGCGGAGTGCCTTCCACTTGTCACAATGAGAGCTTGCGGACATCTACTGTAGGCCACGAGCTTTGCCTTGTCGCTTCAAACGCATCAAACATCGATTATCATTTCAGCTCTTGGCTTGATCCGTAAGTGAGCAGGGAATTGACATCGCACTCATTGACCTATGGGTTCTGCGAAGACATCAGCCGAGGGGCTGCTCAGTCTTCCGAAAGCCACAGAGGAGCCCAGCTTAGAATCCGCACTTCGCTTGCTTGAAGGCAATGGCTGCCGATGGCGAGGCTCACGCGATCAAAGGTCCGGTCTTCAGCAAAGGTGTCCAGTACTAGCACACGTGGTCGGGACTGCAAGACTCAAGAGCTGTTTGAGCACACCTCCCAGACATACCCCTAGACTCTGCAATAAAGAGACAATAAAATGCTGAGTTTTAATGCATGTTTAAGCATCATTTACCACGAACTTAATGCAAGTTCATGGCTTGCAATAAAATGGCGATAAATGGCGTTAGTTTCCTGAAGCTCTGGATGCTGCAGCAAGTGAAGCAGGGGCAAAGGTTGCAACTTCCCCGATTGCAATAAGATGGCAAAAAATCCTAAAGCCCTGGATGCTACAGCAAGTGAAGCAGCCGCAGGCCAACCCACTCCCAGCCCGGTTTCGCACCACTTTTAATACTCCTTTAATGCTCACTCAGAAGTGCCACCCCTCAAGGGTTTTTTGAACATACCCTGCCTTTTTGCATTAAAATTGCATTAAAAACGCGTTAAAATTGCATTAAGATGGCGTTAAAATGCTGCCCGCCCACACCGCCCCATCCCCCCTCCACCCGCACCCCTCCCTCCCCTTCCCCCCAGTGCCCTCCAAGACCCGCCCAAGAGCCCTCCAAATGTAGAAAACTGTCCTAAACCTCAACAACCCCGCTCGAAACCCGTGAGGCCATCTCACGGCATGTCTCAGTGCCTAACGTGTTTTGCCAGGTTGGAGGTCAGCTGCATTTTACTGTCAGTATAATGGATTTATGACCTCTACAGGGCCCTTTTAGGGGGTATGTTCCAGGGGTATGTTT